CTCTTTTCAGCAGGAACACAACATTACGGTGAAGTTTTCTCAAAATAAGCAACTGGAGCAGCAGCACACGTGCCTTTCTCACGACACTTGTCGTCTCTTCATTTCCATAGGCTGTTCTTGGTGAAGAAGAAAATGCGTTGGGAGCTGGTTACCTGCCATGCCCTCTCATTCCACATCCTCCTTCACCAGCAAGGGCCTCCTAGATACTCACTGTGAGCAGTACCTACGCCTGAACTGCCCTCAGGTGCCAGGTGAGCATGGACCTTCAGCTCGGGAGGTTCCCTCTTCCAGCGTTCAGCCAAAACCAGCTTCGCAGCCCTCAACCAGTAAGACATTTGCTGGCTGGCTGTTCCTTTCCCCCTCTCCTCCTGCCCGTCTAGCTGCTTGCATTTCAGGCAGTGACTCTGAGAGGGCGGTCCATTTAATTTAAATGTTTGTAATTAAGAGCTCTGCTGCCTTGGTGATATCCATAGTATTTAATGGCTTTATTTCTCCTGCTATAGAAAGAAGGCAATACAGCTGCTCCTGGGAAAGCAGAAACCCAACAACTTAAAACACGCATCTGAAGGCAGGGGAGTTAAGATATTGTTTGCGTAGGCACATACAATTTTTGGCACGTCAATGAATTTAGGGAGCACTTATGACATCGGCTGCATCTGCACAAACTTGTGCTCCCAGTTATCTATGGGTTGGTTTTGGAGTGCATACAAACTAGGTTGCAAAATTAAGCCTTGAAGTCCAGAATAAGACAATACTGTATTTGCTGCAATCAAAGTAGCATCTTCTCTCCTAAGAGCCACACCTCACTTGTCACCCTTCAAAAACTGCAGGCAGTGACTTGGTTCACATGTTATCAGAGAAAACAAAAGAGATGCAAGAACACGCCAGTACCTACTCTTTGTGAGAGCTTGTTCAATCTTCCTGTCTTTCTCAGCTGCTAGTCAGCCAAGACAACTTCATATGTGACAGCTAGACTTCCAGTGGTGACCTCAGTATGCCACACTAACTCCAGCAGTGCCATCTTACTCACAGCTGGCTGTACCCCATCCAGCTGCATCAACAACAAACCACTGTTACACAAAAAAAAAAGTCAAAAACCAAGAAGCAGTCAACCAAGACTGGAGCTGACAGCAAGTGCCCGGCCCTGACAAGCAGCCACAGATGGGAAGAGAGCCATAGCAACTTGTGAATGCCCTGAAAAGCAAGCAAGGAAGGTCTGCAAAGACAAGGTGGAGCTCCACTGAAAGGCAGGCATTCCTAAAATATCCTGATGAGGCCCAATACTGGACATACCTTATGCGTGCACCCTCATACTGTAATTAATCCAGAAGACCAGCATTAAGAAGTAACACCACTGCTGTACAAGGGTATTTAGACAAGACTTTCTTATTCTCTTCCCTAAGGACCTGCTACTGGCCACCGCTGGAGACAGGATTCTGGGTTGGCTGGTCTGATTCAGCACATCAGTTCTTATATCTTAACGACCCCTCTGGGTTTTGTAATGTACGAAATATCTTCTGAAGGCTGTTACAGAAAGGATAAGCCAGGATGTCATACAATATTTCCAAGAACTCCTGATGGCAATCTGTAATTAAAGCATGCTAATCAACCTGTCCTCTCAACTAGACACTTTATGGGGCTTGCAATACTATGTGAATGGCTCACTGCATGTGCACTCACCTGCTCTACATGGGGCTTCTTGGCAAAGGAGATCCTGGCTATGGAATGAGAAGCTATAGACAGCTCTTGTCCATTCACCTCCCCTTCCTCCACCTCCACCAGACCTAGTGAGAAGCAAGGTCATGTGTATTATTAGGCTACAAAGGTTACTTAACGATGTCACAATTAGGCTACGTAACAGACCACCACTCTCCCTGAAGAACTGTTTTATTTGACCTAGCCCATATCGACAACTGCAAATCCATGCAACCTCAGACATGTAATGCTGCTTAGAAAAATCTAGCCAGACTTACCCATACCGTGTGGGATGAGTATCTCACTGCAACTGGCAGTTTTCCCTTCAGCACCTGCTCTGGAGTTTTAGATGCAAATCAACTGGGTTTTAACACTCACTTATAATAATTTAGATGTGGTTCTGTCTCTCATTCAGTCCCTGTAAGGCGTGTAACAAATACCAAGGCACTACATCCAGACAGTGGGAGTTTCTCCTAGTTTAGGAGCTAAGAAAGATGACAGCACTGAGATTACTCTCCAAGACTGTTAAGGAAACAGTAGGAGAGAAGCTCCCCTGCTGCAGAGGCTCTTGCTAGTGCCACAGCCTGAGCAGGGCCTCAATAGGGAACCTGCTATACAGGTCACACCAAACACTACTGGATGGAGAGGCTGCAAAGGGGGTTTAAAACCACCACAGCCCCACCTTGCCAGGGCCACAAGCTCTACCCTGCACCGCAGAATCAAATATGGCAAGTGTTGACATTGGCAACAACAGTTTTAAGTGGGATGTTAAATCTGAACCTGCTTAGAAAAAGCAGATGGCCAAATATGACACTAGCAATAGAAGGACTCTAGACCCAGGAGTTCATGAACCAAGGCATACACCTCTCTTTCTACCACAGGGTCAACTGTGGCCAACTCAAGGAAGCAGCGGGAACGAAGCATCTTATCTGTACACGTTCCCCCTGCCTCTCCACAAAAAAAGACTAGGATGCTACAAAGGCATCAAGAATGTCACTGGCCACTTATCACCTGCCATCATTAAGGCTCAGATTGCAATTCTTGTTGCAGCAGCAGGGGTTCTTTTGGTTTACAAAGCTACGTCTGTAAATATCAACCTATTATTTGAGGAAAGGATACCCCTCAAGTCTCCTGCATAAGTGGTATTTCAACTTGCAGTCCTTTCCTGTCACAGAAAGCTAGAAAGCCACAGTGTCTGATCAAAGCCACAGAGCCAACCTAGAAACTCAATGGTTTTGACACAAGCTCATTTTTTAATTTATTTTCACTGTGGGTTCAGTGCCAAAGGGCAGTGATGCTGCTCTTTGGCACTGAACCCACAGTGAAAATAAATTAAATGAAACTGTGAGAGGTGCAATAATTTTCTGGAAAAGTGATGAAATGGCACAGCAGGGTAAGGACCTCTTCTTTTCCCCGGCGTGGATGTCAGGTGCGTACCTGTGTTCTGAGCACTGATGAAAGCCACCTTGTTAGTGTCAGGTTTCAGGCGGATGAATCCACATTCTCGGTGCATGGGTTTCCTGGTGTCTGGATGGAAGGCGTTGAACCTGAGGGGAAATCAGAATACAAAAGCTGCTGTTTGCTGCACTGAAAATACAGTGTTAAAAATACAGTTACTTTACAGGCACAGCTATTTCTTAGAGCTGGAGTAGGTTATTTAAGTTCAAGCTTCAGATTTTCCACAGCTCCTGGGTCTTTCTAAGAGCTAGCTCAGAAACTCCCTCAGGAAACCAGACATTTCACAGATGCTGAAGCCATACTGTCTCAAATACTTCCTTTTCTCAAATAAATATATGGAATTATATCATCTTTATTTAGCTTTTAAACCTGGCAAGTTGGATTTTTTTTGTATATTACTTGCTGCAGGCAGTAACAGAGCAGACTTATTTCTCCCACCACCCCCTGCAAAAAGAAAAAAAGTTCAGCTCAGATTCTTATTTATTCTTCAAGAGTCCTTAGAGTTATATGTTTGGTCACCCATAATGCGGGTGATTATATATATCACGCATGTTCATATATTATATTAGTGCTACAGCATTCCTGAGTCTACCTAGGTAACTGAATTAAACAGCAGCTTAAAAGACAATAGCAAGCTAGGTATCTATATAATGCAGTGGACTATCCTATTGGTGTTTTTTTTATTCTACACTAATCTCTTACTTTTCATACTGTTTTTCATAGAATTTCTCACTCTGCATCCTTCTACAGGAAAGGAGACAGAGGTAACCTTGGAGCAATTGCTGCTAAATCTGCACCCAGAACTCCCTCATGCAACAGCAGTTTCCAGACATGCCTCTGCTGTGCAACTGGGATGTGCCTGCTGAAAACAGCCAACACCAGTCACCTTGGCCACCATGACCTGTCCTGGGACTGGGGGTGTGCTGTATCATCAGCTGCCACCCCAATGGTAACAGGGCAAGCGTGCAAGAAGAGCTTGACCAAGAGGCTTGTCCAGGCGCTGGCATGTGGCAAGCTGGAACAGTTACTTATTAAAGAAGCACTGAGAGCTGAAAAGTCCAAAGCGTTTCCTGTGCAAAGTAAAATATAACGAATCACGCAGAGTCAACATTTCCTAGAAGACCAGCAGCACAAGGTGCAGCACATGGCACCCCTACACATGGTACAAGAAAACCATGGGCTTCAAAGAACTGGAGACAAGGAAGGGGGAGCACAGCTAAGGCATGGAGTTACGGAGGAGTCTGGGTGCCTTGCAGTTGCTTCTAGGTCTCTGTCTTCCAAGCATGCTGCCTATTTTCCTGACAATTCCCAGAGCTCAACAGCTCCAAGCTGTGTATCTCCTAGGCACACATACACACACGCCTACAGCCATGCTATAGCTCCTTCTTTTATTACATCTGTAAGCAGGAGTTTCACAAAACAGAATGATAGCAGTTGTAACGCTGTTACCTGAAGATTCATTTCTAATTAGACAGCTACTGCCAGCAAGAAGAATGATGGATTTTTTTTCTGACAATGAGGACAATACATCTTTTGGCTAACATATGCACCCAGTGCACATCATGCTAAAGTGGAAGGATCGGTGGTCTTTGAAAGGCAGGTATTGGAATTTGCACAAACAATAGTGGTGTCCATGCTGGGGCCATTTACCCTAAGCTACTCTCCCTCTTCTGAGTTACAGTCACATTCACAGCACCCTGAGTTACTTCTCACTGTGTAACCCTCAAGACTGGCAGGTCACAAGAACTGTACACTGCACCATGGCCACAGTCCTGATCCTGTACACGTGTGCTTCTGCATGAGTTCACAGGTGTGAATTTACTTTTGAAAAGCTCTGTAGAGTGCACTGTACTCTGGGGCTAGCGAATCTTCAGTGATTGCAGGTGTGCAGCCCTGCGTGTGTTGCAACAGCATGCCAATTAATCACAAATTTCAAAGGAAAACAAAAGTCAGACCATGCAGACACATATCATTACATCATCTTATTTAGTAGGTGAAAACTTGTTTACTTTGCCACTGGAAAAGAAAGACAACTGACAAATCTCACTGGAGCCATGCCTGCTCCAATCCAAAAGCTGCTGCTAACACCAATAAACTGCTAGACTTACGAGAAGTTGAGCATGGGCTGCCCGACGTGAGAGATGTGCACTTCTTCCAGGTACTGGAAGGGCTTCATTGTAGGGAAGGTGCCGTCTCCTGGTGGGTCTGAGAGCCAGGTGCCCAGCATCCAGGACAGGGGCTCCATCACAGGATTCAGCTGGGGAGTCTCTGTGGAGGAAGAAAGAACGAAGAAAAAATTCAGGGATCTGTGCTCTGCAGCTTGCTGTGAGCTGCTTACAGCTGGGTGGAGGTGAACACAAAACACCTCAGAAACGGTCCAACACAGCAGCAATGCTTTTCTCTAGAGCAGCATCAGCTCCAAGGTGCAAGGGGAGATGGGGAACAACAAATGGTCATGGAAAGTAGGTCTGTTTTCGAACCTGCTCTTGGCCTTACATAGAGCACTCTTCCAGGTGGTCCATTTCTGACTCCTCTCTGTAGCTCGATCTGAAGAGAAAGCCCCCTCCCTTCTAGGCACAAGGAAGGAGAAGACTGAAATCTCAGTGTAAAGAATTATCACTAAATGATAATTAAATCTCTAATGCTCTGACCTGATTTTTCTCAAGCACTGAGTACGTACCGTCCCTGTCTGTTTCAGAGCCCAAGGAACGAGTCCTCACTTCAGAGGAAAAAGAAAAATCAGGCTGTGTATATATTCAAGATCAAAGTTTGGCTGTAATTTTTCTGAAGAGGTTAACGACCTGCACTTGTACAAAGAGACAGGTATCGTTCAGAAGTTGTTCTGCTTAGGCTCTAGACTACGGCTAAGTGAAACGTTTTAAAAAGACTAGGGTGCCTGCAAGTTAAAGCATAAATGGAACAGAAAGCTACTTCCCTTTGTCATTGCATTTATTAAGAAGCAACCAAGGTCTGTTTCACAAAATTAAAACTTCTTTAACGAATCATTTTAGAAGAGCTTTGATAAGCAACAGTTTTGCATTTTGCTGTGATTTCAGAGGGTGTGACCTGAAAAAAAAATAAATCAGAGAAATGGAGACAGACAATTTAAAGCCACATGAACAGCAAAGCAGATCCATTCCTAAGGTGTAAGCAGGGGAAGCAATACAGCACCCCCATAATCTCAGGAAAGACCAATACCAATAGAAATTCAGTGCCCACTACTCTAGGTTCGCTACGTTATGCAGACAAGTATGACTGAAGTATACTTAAAGCATGTCCTCCTCCCACTCACATGATAAATGACTCATACTGGCATGGTGGGAGTTGAAGGGGGTTGTTTTCCACAACAAGTGATATTGCCTAATACAAGAACAAGCCGCCTGCCTGGCTGGTCTAAAAGGCATGGGCTAAGCTGCAGGGAGAAATTATGACCTAAAAAGGTGATGCTGTGGGTAAAAGTTTGCTTGATCAGTCCGAGTTTCACTGTGCTCAGTCCCAAACGTCAGGCTAAAAAGACTGAGTGAGGGGGAAGAACGGAGAGTACGCACCTGGAATGCCAAAGGAGGAGGAACAGAAACTTTCCCAGGTAAAAGAGAATTACCGCTTTTGTTATTTATTCTCCCACAGACAGCAGGTTTAGGAAGCCAGCCAGCATGTCAGTAAGATGCTGCTAATTACTCTTCTTTATCCTGAACTATTTTGCAAGTGAAGCAACATGAGAAAACATGAGAGCTCACTATGAAATAGGTGATAAAAGTCTACAGCATCAGAGCCAGCCTCTGCAAAGACCATCCTGCCAGCCTGTGGATTCACCACCAGCTTACCAAGGTGTTAAGAAGGGGTTCCTATAATCCATACAGCAGTGTTAGTGTACTGGACAGTATTTCATTGTATTTACCTTCCACCTGTACTGTGAGCAACCAAAGCAACAGAACATTATTTTCTGGTGCAGCAAAGACCTTAACACAGTGACGACTGATAACAAAAGTCCAAAATTATTGCTACAAGAAACCCCATACTTCTACACTGCTTCTTAGGAAGCAGTTTCCCTTTCTACTTTCATGTTGAGAGCATGCAGTTTTGCAAGTAAGGAGAGTATCACTACCCCATCCAACTGATATTTGCCTTTCACTTGCTACTGCATTTCTTTTCAAGCTTTTTGCAGGCTCAAACTCCCACCTTGGAAGGGAAGAGCAAAGCTTTGGAAAGGCTAGAAGAGACTGCAGCCTGGGCTGCTGCTGCCCTCTCCTGGGTCAGGAGGTGGCAACAACGCCTAGGAGTGGGATACTTTGTCACCACGGTGCTTGTAGTAGGGCACTTCATTTTCTTCTGCTTGCCAACCTTGCAGCATTTCAGGAAAAAGCATCAAAATGACAGACGAAAGAAATGGCTTTAGCCATTTCCACTCTTTAGACTTGGTTATAAGCCAAGAGAAGCCAACCAATTGTTTCCAGCACCCACGGTTTGACCCCATTGCCTGGCTGTGCAGCATCCAGCCTGGCTGGAGGTGCTTGATGGGCAAGCTACTCTCACTTCCAAAGAGCTGCACTTCCAGCCAGCTGAAAAGTGAAGATGTAACTGTATATCCTGAAGTCTACAGCATCTGGGCAAACAGCATGGCCAAGCACCCATTATTAGTTTTCCAAACTACCTGGATGGCAGTGAAGCCAACATGAGTTTTTTAGTTCTTATGTTGCTTGGAAAAGCCAAGAGCAACGGAAGTGCTGGTGGGGATAAGGACCAGAGACTCAGCGAAGTGCAGAAGAGTAAACATATCCTGATCACATCCGATGCAGTGCTCTTCTTACCTTCTATATCTGTCTCTGACTAGTGGACCGAGTCCTTTTTTCTCCCTGGCAGCCTTCTGTGCCAGAGGGCTGAGCTGAGAGAGTGGGGAGGCAGACAGGAGAGAAGCTGATTGAGTCCATCAGAAAAAAAAAAGTGATGATTTGAAAAGAAATTTGCTTCTTATGTCATGGATGGGGTGAGTAAATGCAAGACTACTGTAGCAACAAAAAGTGGAGTTTAAAGAGGAAAATACCTTTGTCTGCTGTGCTGCTTTGTTTCAAACAACAGGTTTATAGGTGCAGTCACTGTCAAGAGGAATTTCACTGACAAAGGAGCTTTCTAAAGATCTAAACTCTTGGCGCATCACTTTTACAAACAACTTCCTACTATGGCTTAACAAGTAAGTGTGTAGCAAGATCCAGAACACGAACCACATCTGAGAATTCGCAGTGCAAGAGACACTGGCCACCCTTCTGCACGTTTAAAGCTTCAGACTCAGATGGGGTCCTCTTAATGCTGGTTCTCTTGCATCCGCATGCAGAGTTTCTCTTTTATCTAACAACAGGGAAGGTCACGCTACAGCCTCTTTCTTAACAAGGACATTCCTGGAGCCACTTTCCCCTACCAGGTGATACACTTTCTTGAAGTCATTAGGGACCCAGCATCTTTGAGATCTCCGCTCCTCTACGAAATCTGACTGAAATCAGCCACGACGCTCACAAGTTCCAACAGCTTGGGAGACAAAAACCACAGGCACATAAGCAACCTGATCACCTAGAGCTCTTTTCTTCGGGAAGCCATTCAGGCCAAAACTGCAGCGCCCAGCTCCTGGGCACACGAGTCAGCTCTGTTTCACCATCTGACCCCACTTCATCCCTCTGAACTCACAGATGGACTGTTTCCACATCTTTCGCGTTCATAGAGGGTTTAGAATTCAAATCCCTCCCTGCACTGTAACAAAGTCAGACTGTAACCGGCAGTCCACACTTTGCAGTGGGAGATGGCAAGCTCTCCCTGCCATGAGACAAACCAGACAAAGCGGCTGGACAACCCCCTCGGGCCATGTCTACACAGGCTTCAGCCAGCGTGGCTCTCAAGTGGGATCCCTGGCACAGAAAGTTACACTGGCACAAATTCCTACACAGTTTTATCAGCAAAACTGCAGCACGAGCAGCCAGCTGGTTGCTAACAAGGCAGCTAACCTATTTCCCCTAAGCTGGGAAATACTCACTGCAGGAAACTTAAGGAAAAAAAAAAAACCAACAACAAAAAAAACCCACAAAACAAAACCCCAAACAACAAACCAACCAACTCACACAGCACCTTCTCAGTCTTCAAAGTGCAGAGTCTACAGCAACAGCTGGGCAGCCTCCTGCAGTCCTTTCTTCTGAGTCGCTTACTGAATTTAAATCATCATTATCAAGGTTCAGGTAATTAAGGAGCAGCCTTGGTCAGCATACTTTTCCCATATTTAAGTACAGAAGGTGGCTTTGTATTCTGCTGCCCTTCCATGAGTGTTGCAGCCCTTTACACACTTTGTTGATGCTCCCCCCAGTAAACCAGTAAAGCATTCCTGGCACTGACATGCTCGAGCTCCGTCTCTGCTCTAAAAGCTGGGAATGTGGTTATATTCACAAATTTTCATCTTACGGCCTATCTTAGTAATTCATTTCATGACCAAGCACCAATGTGTTATTGCCTCTGTTTCTAACCTCTGTGGTAAAACGTTCCAGTGCCTGTAGTCACTGTCAGAGTTCTCCTGCACTACAAAATACAGAGAAAACATTTTTAAAATTACACCACTATAAGAAACCCAAACATCCTACCTGAGCTTACCTCAATGTTTTACTTTCTCTCAAGTTTTACTTGGTTAGCGTTTTCCTTGCTTCCTAGTTGCAAGCTGTTTTTTTGTTGTGAGTCATTGCCGACTCACTGCAGAATTAAATGCTTAATGCACAAGCTGTATAGGCTACTAGGAAAAAAAACTAGAAAAAACAAGTGTGTTCCACTGAAGAAAAAAAAAGCCAACAGCAGAGCAAAAAGCCTTGTTTCCCCCCTCCCAACCGCCTCTCTCTCCAAGGGGGAGATGAAAGAACCATCTCCCTGATCAACCACGTCTCGAACCTGTTGAGCGTCGGGTGCCTGCACACCGGTTGCTCCCATGCAGAGCACGAGGCAGCTTACCTCCCGCTCACTGCGGGGCAGGACATGCTCAGGTCATAGGTGCTGTCAAGTCTCACCTAGCCTCTCTCGTGATGCCTTCTGCCACAGATTCAGCCCCACTCTTAACCTACGCACACATATTCCTACTCCTTATCTTCCTCTTAGCTTACGTTACAGCTTCCTTGTTCTTTGTAACACCCACTTACTCTATTGACCAGCCTTCTACCCTGGCTGTTCCCATCCCAAACAAGGCAGGGAAAAAAAAAAAAAAAAAAAAAAAAAATCACAAGCAGCACCTGCCATCTCAGAATAAAAGCATTTTTCTTCCAAAATCTAGCTCCAAGTTAATATGCAGCTGCTAGGTTAGCAGTGCCTCCCCTGGCAGAGGCAATTTTTCTGACAGCACATCTCTGCAATCCATTATAAGAGCTTCGTTTTCAGGCTAAACTGGACAGGGACCCATTGCTGTTCCAAGTCCTGCTCAGACAGATGAAAAGTACAGCATCTTGCATCCTTGCACAACCCCACTTCTCTTCTCACTGCCACTGAGGAACACGATTTTGCTATTTGTTTTTTGCAACATGAACGAAAACCCATTGCCACCTTGATGGGAAACACCACCTCAGGCCCTACAGACCAGGCATCAGGACTCCATCTCAGCACAAAACCAGACATTTAATGTTCGAGTCCTTCTGCTTGTCCCCAAAGTTCACCAACGATGCTTCATTCACATGTAAAAAGTATTACAAACAACCCCATTTCTATGCTGGCTTTGTACAAATATTTAAAGACAAATCTAAGCTGGAAGGAAATATGACTTCCTACAGATTCCTAGCAAAACTGTAACCATTTTTCACATGGACTCATTTTGCAAACTCTCCTGCCTTTAATATGACCTTCATGAAAGCAGACATGCAGTGTTAAAGAGGCTCCACATATGCTCAAATGGCTGAATTCTAACAGCTTTACCTCTCTGGTAACTACAGACACTTCAATCCCATTGAATCATACCTGTGTTTGGTCCATTGCCAGCCATAGTTTGCAGAGTTATTTTTCTATTGCTTGGTCTAGCCCTCTAACCACCTTTGCTCACCAGAAAGTGTTTTGCGCAGGGTTGATAAGATGGCTATAAGGGAAGTGATCTCATGATTAAGTAAGACAGTTATCCTGGTGCCTGCTGGGAGATGTAGTTTTACACAAGGACCAAACTTGAGCATGTTAAGACGAGGTGATATTGTGAAAGGAGCACCTCAGATCTCCTGTCTGTGCTAGCACTGGGGGAGTATGATGCAGCAGAGGTGCAAAACCTTCAAGCAGAACAAGATCATAGAATCATAGAATGCTTTGGGATGGAAGGGACCTTTAAAGGTCATCTAGTCCATCCCCTCTGCAATTGGCAGGGACATCTACAACTAGATCAGGTTGCTCACAGCCCCATCCAGCCTGTCCTCAAATGTTTCCAAGGATGGGGCATCTACCACCTCTCTGGGCATCCCGTTCCAGTGTTTCACCACCCTCATCATAAAAAAAATGATTCCTTATATCCAGTCTGAATCTACCCTCTTTTAGTTTAAAACCATTACCCCTTGTCCTGTCACTATTGGCCCTGCTAAAAAGTCTGTCCCCGTCTTTCTTATAAGCCCCCATTAAGTACTGAAAGGCTGCAATAAAGTCTCCCTGCAGCCTTCTCCAGGCTGAACAACCCCAGCTCTTTCAGCCTTTCCTCATAGCAAAGGTGTTCCATCCCTCTGATCATTTTTGTGGCTCTCCTCTGGACCCTCTCTAACAGGTCCATGTCCTTCTTGTACTGAGGACCCCAGAGCTGGACGCAGCACTCCAGGTGGGGTCTTACCAGAGCAGAGTAGAGGGGCAGAATCACCTCCCTCGACCTGCTGTCCATGCTTCTTTTGATGCAGCCCAGGATACGGTTGGCCTTCACAGCCCAGAAGGCCAACTGTATCCTGGGCTGCATCAAAAGAAGTCAAAAGAAGATAGTCAGATAGTACTTGTGTATCAGAGGACAGTGCAGTTAAAATAGTCTCCCCTTCCCCAGGACAGTGGATCTGTATTTGCTCACTGGCTCTCCCTAATTTCTTCCAGTGTATCCTGTTGTCCTCCAGAAGATGAGAAGATGCATCTAACCTTGTTCTGCCTGGTGCACTGTGCCTAACCGCACTCCTCTGCTGGAAGTATTCCTCAGCCTTTGGTCCACGGACCTCAGAAGTGGCCCACAAAACAGAAGGAAGCATTTTCCTACCAAACAAGTGAGCAAATTTAGATGGAAAAGGTCACTGTGACAGCTGCGCAGGAAACAGCCCAGGGCTTCTAAAACCAGTTAGTCAGTCCCCCTGTTAAGACAGGTTGGGAAACACCGCTTGAGCGCATTGTGACAGTTCGAGCACACTGTGAGCCAAACTCACCCAGACTAAATCACCAGTCCTCAAGTGTGGCTGGCAGGGACTGCGTGTGCAGCAGTTTTGCAGAAACCTGCTCTTTCCAGCCAGCTGTAGTTTGGATGCAGCCAGCAGAAATTTACTTGTCTTGTTGGAGGAAAATACCACATGAGAACTAGTACCAAAATGAAGATCTGCTTAACGGGTGCGGGCCTAAAGCTCATTTTTCTGCTTGCAATTTTGCGGAAGCAGCTGAACATCAGGCAGCAGCAAAAAGAGGTCCTGCAGCATGTGGAGTTGGGATGCAGACACGTAACAACCTGCATGGTCAGTCCGGTCGGTTACTTTACTTACACTCCCCATCCCCAAGGCACTGCCTTCAGAAGAAAAAAATACGCAGGCTCAGGTTCACAGCTAATAACATCACCTCAACTACACATCAGATGATTTAGGACAACTGAAATGTAGCTACTAACAAAGACTATAATTATCATTAACCTAATATGTTACCTGACTGTATTTTTATGAATACTAAAAAGCCCTTCTTCAATTCAGCTTTGCATTACAGTAAGACTTAGTGTCTAGGCATAAACCAGACTCTACCCAGCAGTAGTCAGCAGCACTTAATCGGGTATTTTGACTGCCAGAAACTACTACTATGAGCACAAAAAAAACCCAATGAAAAGCAGATGAGCACCAAGATTAAACTAAAAACAAACAAACAAACAAACAGCTAGCCCCCAACAAGCCCTTTAAAAAAAAAAATCACCAGCCAAAGGTTTCCATAAGAACTTCCCATCACACCGAGCTGTAATCATCAAAATGATTCTTTTTCACATACTGATCTCCAGTTTTGTTGATAAAACACAGCAGAACACATAGCGAGTTGGTCAATTCATTATGAAAATAGACATTTTCCCTTAGAAAACAGAATAGGTAATTCTCATGTTCTTATAGAAGATATTCTTAATATATAATTCTCATGTTCTCAAACACATATGTATACGAACATCCATCTCAGGAAAGAAAAGAAAAATCATAGTGCTTACTAGAATAAAGAAAAACATCCTTCAGGACACTCTTTTAGCAATTAGTATCTCATTGAAGGTATACCAACAAAGCTACACACCTTTTTTCATATATATACACACACATATATATATGAATGAATGATAATTATGGAACCGTAAAATTGTATTTAGTTATTTTCTTTAGTTTGACACCAAAACAATACAAAAATACAGACCAGAAGGTACAAATAAGACTATGTTGATTTCCCATGGGGGAATAAAAAATTCTTTTCCCCCCTGTACCCAAATCAAAGTATGAGTTTTCCCATACTTTGGAAAATTAAAAACACATGGAAGGGAAGAGTAGCGTTGGGTATCGACCTTCAAGAATTTTGTCGGGATTTATTTTCTTCCACTTGAGTGAGGAAGCAGGCCATGCTATAATAGTCTGGAGAACATGTCTTTCTATGCCAGTATCATGTTTCTGACCATGTCTAATACTACATGGCTTTAGAAGAAGCCATGAGGTTTCTTTTTCTAAAGCCATGGCTTTAGAAGAAGCCATGAGGTTTCTTCTTTAGGAGAAAGAAAACTCATAATGGACGCTAAAATTACCGTGAGGGGATACCTAACCATCCATGGATGAGGACTTCTTCAAGAAAGCCTGAAGTCATGCATCCTTCACAAGACAACCCATTTTCTCAGCAGCCACACAAACATCAAACATCATTAGATGCTCCTAAACTCTTCCCCTGAATTGTGTCTTGCAACTAAAGTCATTGTGCAAAAGTTTTAGCAGCCGTGTATTAAAGCACTCTTTCTTGCAAGAGAAAGGGTTATGGCCCGCTTCAACTCCTCCACAACAACCTTTTTACATGACATCATCCCTCACTGAGTTCCCCTACATTTTCAGGTGTCTCAATTTTTTTTTTTTTTAATTGATAGAGAAGCCATTCTCCATCTCTTCCCACTTTATTATCTGTTTCCTGATGACTTTGCCTTCTGAGGGAGGAAATGATCAAACCGCACACAGACATTCGGTCATTAAAAGTGACCTCACTCTGTAACATGACATTGTCGTATCTGATACCTACCACTTCACTTAGATTTCATATATCCCCGAGTACTTAGTGCAGTATATGAAATCTAAGATCAGAAGTACTTCTTACATCACTGGAGAAGCCTACAACAGCTTTCCCAGATACCTGCTGACAGTTCATTAACACACCAAAAAAATTCACTGGCACACTCCAAAGGAAGGCAAATCCTAACAGGTGCTATTGAGTCATAAATAAGTTAAAATAATCCGGGAAGAAAAAAAATAAAATTCATCAAGAGAGTTGTCTGCAACACCATGACCTAACTTCCCATTCCACACCAGGAATCGCCTCAGAAACTTTTGGAACGTAAGAAATAGCTAGTGTGCGCAGAAACCTTGTTCTTTCACCTCTATCTGTTGGTTTAACACAAGCTACTACTTCTCCTTCCAAAAACGTACCTTTCTCATATCTTTTACCCACGACATCTTTAAGACATCTAACTTAAACAGCCTCTTACTGCTAAGAAAACAGTGAATTCTGCCTCAACACAAAGCCACTGGGAATACTGACCACAGTCCTGGGATAGCAGGCTGTTCAAGTAAGGGAAACTGATCCTCTTCAGCTCATCTAGCTTCTCCTTCAGCTTCCTGACTTGACTGTCAGAGCGACTGATCCTCTGCCTCAAAAGTTTCAACTCTCCATTCTTCTTTTCTACCTGCTCACGCAAGCAGCACACCTGACTTTTGCTCTGCCTGGAGGAGAAACAGTACGAGTGGAGGGAGTCGATGAGCTTGCAAGCTCCCGAGGCCGACATGATGACCTCGTTGATGGACATGGGGTTGGCATCTGTGTCACCCTTCCGCCCCACCACAGCCTCAGCGGCAGGCTGAGGGGTAAGGTCTGCTGGGGATGCCGACAAACCCTGGGAAGGTTTCTGAGGGGTCACAGTGAGGGATGAAGTAGGGGAGCCTTCCGCTACGGCCTTATCATGTCCCATAAGATGGCTGCTGCAGCTTGGTTCCACATCTCTCTTTGGCCTTTTCCTTTCTAGCTGCTCTTTTGGGAAAGATGGCCTCTCTCTGGCATGCTTAGAGGAAAAGCTGTAAGAATGAAGGGAGCCAATGAACTTGCAAGCACCAGAGGCAGGAGGCGTGAAGTCGTCGACTGACACACCACTTCTGTCTGCTACCCAGCTCCCCGTCCAGGTGGCTTTAGGACAGTCCTCCATAGAAGATCTCTCAGGTTTTTTCTGAGGTCCAGGCTTTGCAACCAAATTATCACCTAACATCCTTCTCCGAGGGCCGTCCAGCTGGCTGTGGAGGTTCTCTTCCTCCTCGGACATCGATCCGATTTCTGCTTGCAAAGTCGCCTCCTCCATCTCTTTTGTCCCTTGCATCACCATGAAGTCCTGGCCAGAAGACAAGGTCCTCTGAACTACCTCACGGCCTCCTTCCCTCGGGTCTTCTCCATCCTGCAGCGGCACCTGGCTTGCTATTTTTCTTCTGCTTCTGACATAATCCAGGTTGTCGTGTTTTTTCTCTGCAAGCTGGAAGATAGTAGGGACAGCAGTGGGCTTCAGCAACCGGTGCTGGTCTTCCAGACGCTTAGAAAAACTGTCTTTGGTGAAATGCTCGCTGCAAAGAAATGAATACTTGGTGGGAGTCCAGTTGTCTCTCTGAACAGCTTTTAGCCACTGAATCAGACGCTTTGAATCCTTCAGAGGGAATCTAAAAAACAAACAAACAAAAACCATGAAAAAGTAAGTTGCATTTTGGAAATCAGAAGGATTGGTACTCTTAGGTTTAGGAAATTCTCATGAAAGCTGTATTTTAACAGGTTATGCTCGTTTGAGGATTATTTCACTTTGGGCCGAAACACTCAATATTCGTTCCCTCCATTAACAGCCCCACTTCACAAACAGCGCAGAACTAAAAAGCGCTGTTTCCCTTTTCATCAGCAGCTGACCGATTATTCAGCTGCTCATCTACCCTACGACAAACGCCGCAGCCTGTCCGCAAATGAGGAGAAACGGAGGATGCGACGAACACCGAAAGCACCCCAGCTCGGCCAACGCGTTGTCCTCCTGCAACCCTGCTGATGTTTACGCCGGGTGTATTTAATAAGGTGTAACGATGCCTGGACTGAGAAAAGACCCAGAGCTGTTGAACTACCACCTTTTCTGCACGGGCTCGCGTGGCCCGAGAGAGCGACCTTCCCTCGGGGACTCACCCACGCAGCGCCCCCGGCGGGGCCCTGCTGCGGGCAGGGGCGGGGGCCAGGCCGAGGCGTGAGCCTGGGGCCCAGGCCCCGCGGCGGCGGCGGGCTCCCC